TGAGGCGCCTTGGACCGTCTACGCCATGAACTGGAGCGTCCGGCCCGACAAGAGGTTCCGCCTGGCGCTCGGCAGCTTCGTGGAGGAGTATAACAACAAGGTGAGGCGCTCGGAGCTTCCTCATCCAGAGCCAGGCTGGGTAAAGCCTGCAGCGACCTGCGCTGGGGGGAGATGTCCCGGCCCAGGGCTCCATCCCAACCCCTTCACGTTCTCCCCGAGGGGCAGGGAATGCCCTGGATCCCTCAGGCCCGCGGGGAATGGACTGTGCTGGCTGAAAGGCTGGGAAAGGCCCTCGGGTTGGTAATTTTTGCTGCTCAGTGTGAGTCCAGAGCAGCCCACAAGGTTGATAAGAGGATTGGAGCATCTTCCCTGTGAGGACAGATTGAGAGAGTTGGGGCTGTTCAACCTGGAGAAGAGAAGGTTATATAGAGACCTCAGAGCAACCTGCAGGAGCTGAAGGGGCTCCAGGGAAGGTGCAGAGAAGAATTGTTCATCAGGAACTGCAGGGACAGGGCAAGGAGGAAAATTGAAAGGGGGAAAGTTTAGGTTAGATACTAGAAAAAAGCTTTTCCCTGTGAGGTTGGTGAGACACTGGCACAGGTTGCCCAGGGAGGCTGTGGCTGTGTGCAAAGCCTTGAGCAACCTGCTCTGGTGGGAGATGTCCCTGCCCAGGGATCATCTAGCTGATCTCCAAGCTCTATCCAAACCCCTTAACATTCTGTGATTCTATAAAGGAAGTCTCATGGCCAGGACTGAAGTTTGTGCCTAGTTGTTGGAAATGTTGTCGTTGTACTTTTCTTGCTCTGCAGGATTTCTGTGTGATAACTTTTCTCACAAGTATATAAACCACTTCCACTGATTCCTCCACACCTTGACTTACCCCCGAGAACAAAGGTGTAATGAGGCCTGAGATTGGATCTTCAGTGTGTCTCTGCCAGGTGTAAGTGGAGAACCTCACACAGGTTGTGGAGACCTCTCAGGACACCTGTGCAGTCACTTCAGGACAGTCTTGGAGGTGTTTGTCAGGTACAATGAATTTGCAGAGATAAGAGATGAGAAGATGGATGTGGTCACAGAGCATCCAGAAATGTGTGGAACTGAAGGCTTAGCCAATAGTTTGGTGTGTTTGTAGCTTTGTCAAGGTGTTTGGTGGAGGTTGTAGGAAATAACTTTGGAGAGTTGGTGTTGGGGATTGGACTTTGTGCAGGGCTGGAGTGGCAGTGGCAGAGGTGACTCTTAGAGTGGTCAGATCACTTGTGTGAGCTCTCGGGGTTCAGCCAGGGTGAGCTGTCAGTGTGGGAGTTGCATCCTGTTCCTGGGGAGTGCTGTGGTTCTGGGAGTGTCCCTGGGCACAGGCAGGGCCTGAACTGGGAAACTCTCACTTTGGTTAGAGACCAACCTGAAAATGGTTTTGCGGTTTGTGCTCTGAGAAGGTAAAATAGCAAATTGCCAACAGTTTGTTGTTGAGAGGTGGCAGAAATGGTTAGCAAGGAAGTTCCATTAATGTTGCCTGTATCTCCTTAGGTTTGGAGCATCCCCTGGGGTTGCTCCCAGGTTCAGTGTGAGCAGGTCTGAACTTCAGCTCAGGCCTCAAGTGTAAAGCAGCTGAGTCAACCCCTCTTTCTCCTCCCTTTCACCCTCACAGTTGTTGCAGGCAGAACTTGTGCAGGGCTATGTAAATTGCTGCTGTCTGTAAATATGCAGTTGTTGCAGGCAGAACTTGTGCAGGACTATGTAAATTGCTGTTGTCTGTAAATATTCCCCAGGGCTTCTCCTGACCTCTGGGCTAAGGATTCTGTTGACTTCAATCCCTATAAGCACCACATGCTGTGAGGTCCCTGTGGTGTAAGGAGCTGGAAACTGCTGTCTGAGGACAGGTCTGGATGCTGCTGCTACAGAAATAAAGATGTATGATGGAAAATTAAACCTGTACAATAAATGCAGTGAGACACAACCTTCACTTTGCTCTGGCTCTGATATTTCAGAGTGATTCTTTTTTTTTTCTCTCTCTTGTGGTTTTTTGTTTGGTTCTTTTTGTATGAAGACAATTAGCAGAGAGCTGATGGGTAATTGCAAGTGCTGTTACTGCTCAGAGCATGGATGTTGTCTCCTTTACTCTGGGGGGATCAGAAGACACCTGGGAGTGGTGGTTCATCCTCACTGTCTTTGCTATGGCTCTCACAGATGTGCTGAGTTCTTTAGGGAATGATGAAACAGGGAATGGTTTCATGCTCAGATTGGGAGCTCTTGGGCAGGTTCTGCAGGGCTGTGCTGTCTGCACACGAGTTGTAAACTTCCAGCTGTCCATGGAAGTGGTGTAACTGAAGGAGCAGAGGGAAAGGACTGAAGCTCCTCTGGGCAAATAGTCCATGTCACTGTGCTGCAAAGGGCCTGGAGCAGTTGGTTTAGAGCCTGATGACTTCTGGGGCTAACAGATTTCAGCTTCTTACAGAGCATGGGTGAAAGTTTCGTCCTTCTGCATAGAATTTGTCCTTCACGGTTGAGGTGTTTTATTTTGGCAGTGCCTGACATCAAAACACACTTTCAGGTACAGTTGGCACTAATTAAAAGGATAATGAAAACTGATTTTCATTTCAGCTTTCTCTTTGCACTCCTCATCTTTAGAGGTTTCTGACAAGCCCCAAGTAACATTTCTCTCCTGATGTTGCAGTGGTTTGTTCCAAATAAATGGTTTTCTTCCTAACAAAAACAGTCTGGAATAAAAATTTGCCTTACTTAAAAATCTAACCAAATTGCTGTGTGTTTCCCTTACTGCTCTTTTGTTTCAGGGATTCTTTCAGAAAGGTGCTGGGATGACCTGGTGCTTCAGGGTTCCTCCTTCTGACCAGAGAGTGCTCAGGGGGTTGTTCTAACAGGAGCTCATTTGTTCTGTAAGATTTAGCATTGCAAAGGAAAACTGATTGCACAGTGAAGGTGAACTGGTGCAGTGACATTGTTCTGATTATGCATGACCCTAAAATGATTGGGAAAAGTTGTTCTTGGTCATTGTTAATTAAAGGGTTGTAGTTTGGGTTTGTTGTGGTTTTTCTGAACACTGAACTTACTTCACTGTCCCTCAAACCATGCAAGAAAAAAGAAGCTGTTACACACCCTGCATTGTTTAATTCTGTGCCTGATTCTTTTGGATCATGTTGGAGATGTGATTTTCTTAAGAGTTAAGGGATGCTGATTAAAGGCACTTCTTTCCTGCCATGCACTGTTGCAATTAAGCTCTATGTTGATAAAGGCTTGGATTAGGGTAGGAAAATCCACATCCAATTCTAGCATATCTTGATGTGTTTGAGACACAAATATTTAGCATTTCCAGCTACTGTCGTGGCACAATTGCAGAAATAGCTGAGACTGTTCTCTGACCTGGCCTGCACCTGAACATGTGAGAGAGCAGAGATTCTGAGCTGCTGCATTGCTTTTTCTGTAGATCTGAGGGGGGTTACACAGGAATATGCAGTGCAGGAACATTTCCATTCCCAGCAGTGATATCCATCCATTCCCACCACTGAAAGTGGGTCCTTTGCCATTTGAGATTTGCTTCTGGTGATGAGGATGTTGATTGCTTTGTGTAGGCTTAATAACACTCGTGTTGGGCTGGAAACAGCATAAGCAAAGGAGGAATGATTAGAGGTCATTTGTCTTCTGATCCTGACCTTGCCACAAGATTTTCTATCACCAAGGACAATTTGCTTCCTTTGTAAAATCCGCTTAGTATTTCTGATCCCCAAAGGAGTTAGAAAGCTATTTGTCAATCACTGCAGAAGACTGGGAGATTTTTGACTGATTTGTAGCAGAGTGTGAAGGATAATAAGGAGTAGTTGTAATGAAGAGAGGGCAGGGCAGACAAACACAGTTGGTAGGAGCAGACTTGGATGTGTCTTCGAGGGTTGTTATGGGGTGGAAAGGATGGAGCCGCTCATCGTGGTGGGGACAGGTTGTTATGGGGTGGAAAGGATGGAGCTGCTCATCATGGTGGGGACCAGGTTTGCATTTCTGAAGGGCATCTCTAAGTGGGCTCATAACTGCTCATGTCAGAGTTGAAGATCCACTGAAGCTTTTGTTGGTTTTCTGCTAGGTGGGGAAAGACTATGGCAAATTTGTGATCTAGTTGAAATGTGTAGTTTATTCTCCACATTGCTTATCCCAGAATATTGAGGGTTTTTCCAGATAAACATCTTAGAAAAAGTCCATCAAGCTGCTGTTTCCAAGAGGAAGCTACTGTGTGGAAAGTCCTAGGAAGTTCCCACTGGGAGCAGCTTACAAAGTGATTGTAGTGAGTCGTCCCCTTGTTTGTGTTTGGGCAGCATTTCACACAGTGGAGCTTTCATCTGTTTGGGCCTTGCAGTCACTGCAGGTTAAACCCTTCCCAAGCACCATTTGTTCTCTGAACCCTTTCTGACGTGTCAATATTTTTCTAATAACATCATGTCTGGAGCCTCAGGCATGACTTCAGGTGTTGTCATGAGCAGCTGTGTGGAGATAGGTTCTTGTTTGCTCTGCTTTGCATCACTAGGCAAGTTTAGCCCTTCCCACTCTCACATCACTGCAAAAAGTGCTACTTTGGAACTCAGTCACCCAGGGTCTTTCAGCAGATCTGCTTTCTTGGTCTTTTCACCCCAAACTTTTGATTAATGTAACTGTTTTAGCTTCTCAATATTTTTTTTTTAGGCTTGAATACTGTTTTACTTTCTGACTGTGTGATGTGATTAATCTGTATCTTAATTTCATGCACTCGTGCCAGAACATTTCAGGTCATGTGATGCTGGGAGCAGCTTGCCAGCTAGTTGGCATGATCCATCACAATCTGCAGGGTTATGGCCAGGAATTTCCATGGTATGGACTTGCATTGTGCAAACTGCAGCTTGTTCTGCTCTCTGGAGATGACATTGTCAGCATCAGTTGGGTTAAGGATGAGCTGAGATAGTGTTTATGCAGTTTGAGTCTGGGGTTTAAACTGAGCTTTGCAGTGTGGGAAGGAGAAGGGTGGTCTTTAATCCCTTAGGATTGGATTTCAGTGTGTTTGAGATCATCTCTTCAAAGCAAAGCATGGGGGTGATTATGGATACTTTGCTCTGCTTACACACCCAGGCTGGGAGGCAAAGCTTTAATGATTTCTCATTCCATTGACATGATGGTCCTTTCATAGTGTCCTTGAGCTTACAGAAGGTGAAACACCATCTAGTGCTGTCCTTAGAAATGAGGGTTTTGATAAAATGCTTGTTTGAATGTGGTTCCTCACAGGTGCAGCTTGTTGGTTTGGATGAAGAGAGCTCAGAGTTCATCTGCAGGAACACCTTTGACCACCCTTACCCCACCACAAAGCTGATGTGGATCCCAGACACCAAGGGAGTCTATCCAGACCTGTTGGCCACCAGTGGTGACTATCTGCGAGTGTGGAGGGTGAGTAAACCCTCCCCAGAAAGAGATGAACCATGATGTGAGTTGTGTTCCATATTGATCTCCTCTTCAATAATGTGACCGAACATGAGGATTGCAGGAGAAGCAGAATTGTCCTGGTAGTTGCTGTTCTAATCAGCTTATTGGAGATAGTGGTTGTGTTTTCCAGAGCTTTGGGATGTGAAGCTGAGAGGAAAGAAATCTGGAAGTAGCACCTTATGTTTGGTGCCAGTGGAACAAGTGGTGATGTTGCTGTTTAAGTTAAGTGTTTTGTTTCCCTCCAGGTGGGTGAAACCGAGACCCGACTGGAGTGTCTGCTCAACAACAACAAGAACTCTGATTTCTGTGCTCCACTGACATCCTTTGACTGGAATGAAGTGGATCCTTACCTGCTAGGTGAGACTGGGAAAATGCTATGTGTTCAGCACATTTTTGGGTTTAGGCTGGTGAGCTCTGGGCTGTGACTGACTTTGTGTGACCTCTGGTTAATCTGCTAACTAACCACAAACTCCTCCATCGTAGAAACTGCTGCTGTCTTAGGTTAAAAACAATATCACCTCATGGAGACTTTTTTTTGCATTGAAAATTGTCCTTGTCCAGGACAGAATGGGTCACTCAGCTGCACTAGGGATGTTCCTTATTTGGGGATGGAGAGTCTCAGCCCTCAGGGCTGCTGAGCTGTTGTAGGAAGGATGTGCCTCAACTCCTGATCCTTATTTTAGCATGTTCTGGAGTGGAGAGAAGACTGTGCCCCAAGCTTTGTCTTTTGGGAAGCCATTTCAGCAGCAGGAGGAGAGCCCTTAGCTGAGCTGGAGGAGGGGGCTGAATGCTTAAGACTTAATTACAGCCTACAGGACAAATTGTGACTCCAAGATGAGTGATCCAGAGGTTTGTTTCCCAGAGGAGAACAGCCATTGATGTCAGGGGGATTTGCCCAGAGATTAACAGTGATAATATGTCTTAGTAATTATTTCCTACATGATTTATTTTGTGTGTGTGTGTGTTACGTCTCTCATCTCTTAAGAGCTTTACTGCTAACCCACCTTCAGTCCACAGCAACAATCAATTAAAGATAACACACTATCACAACCCTCTGATTGAATTTTGGTTTTGGCATGCACATGAGACTCACAGGGTGGGAAAGCTGATCTCAGAGCTGCATCAGGCTCCTGAACAGATTGAAGCAGACATGAGCTATTTGCACTTTATTCCTGTGTGGAAGGCTATTTCTGCAGCTGAAAGGTTTGGGTCATTGAGATGCAGAGAAGGCTGTGGCTGTTTGACATTCTTGGCTTGAATTCTGGTCTCGCTGCTGGTTTGGTCTGTGGGTGTTGGGGGATGTTACATTCATCCAGTAAAGTGATGAAATCATTTGTGATAAGATGAATTTGGCAAACAGAAAGTGGTTTTGTTTCAGGTACCTCTAGTATTGACACAACGTGCACTATTTGGGGTCTGGAGACAGGACAGGTTCTGGGAAGAGTCAATTTGGTCTCTGGCCACGTGAAGACACAGCTTATTGCCCATGACAAAGAGGTGATGGTGGTTTTCATTGTTTGCATGGCATCTTTTTAAAGCAGTAGAAAAGGAACAGAAGTTTTCCATTTCTCCTTTCTCTTGAAAAATTAATGATTCAGAAAGATCACTTGCCTAAGTATAAATTGTATAGTTTTGAGCACCAAAATACTGTTGGCTGTCAAAACTATTCTTTTTGCTTGTCATAGAATCTGGAGCTGAGAACATGTTTGTGTTACCAAGTTATACTCCAGAATATTTGGAGAAAAATGAGATAAAACATCAAACTGGTCTTGAAATCTGAGTAACTTGAAAGTGAATATCCAAGGCTATAAATGACTTGCAAAATTCTTTCATTTTACCCTATTACTTTCAACAGTTGATATAAAAAAAAAAAATCCAAGCCTGGGAAATGGAGAAGTTTTAGTTTCAGTGAACGATCCTATATTACATAAACATTTCAGTGGGGTTTTTTTTGTCCCCATGGCAAGTGTAGTAACTAAAAACTTGCTCAGCACATCAAGTACTTGGCAGAATATGTCACAGCTAGAGGTGCTGTCTGTAGATAAAGTGCATTTCCCTGTGTGTCAGGAGGCTCTGAGCTCCCTGGGCCTGAGGCTGTGTCTGTGCCCTGTTCCTGGCAGGTGTATGACATTGCCTTCAGCCGTGCAGGTGGGGGCAGAGACATGTTTGCCTCGGTGGGGGCAGATGGCTCCGTGAGGATGTTTGACCTGCGTCACCTGGAGCACAGCACCATCATCTACGAGGACCCACAGCACCACCCTCTGCTGCGTCTCTGCTGGAATAAGCAGGATCCCAACTACCTGGCTACCATGGCCATGGATGGCATGGAGGTAAGGCAGCAGCTCCTCCTCTGCAGGTGCTGGGGGCTGTGGGTTTGGAAGGGGAAGTGGCTTGGTGTTAATTGCAGAAAGGTGATTAGGAACTGGAATGTGCTGCTCAGGATGGTGGGGGAGTCACCGTCCCTGGAGGGTAGTCAGCACGGTGGTGTTGGCTCCTAGATTGGATTTGATGGTCTTGGAGGTCTTTTCCAACCTTAATGATTCTGTGATTCTCTAATTAGCAGTCAGTTGTTTCAGGTAAGGTGGCAGTGGCAGTGCCTGGGGGATGATTAAGGACCAGTTCTTAGTGCTCTGACTTCTGGAGGAGTTAAAGAAGTGACTTTGGCATTATAAACTTGAGCTTTATGGCTCGTTTATATTTCAGCTGGTTTTTAAGAGGAGTCTGTGAGCAGCTGGGCAATAATTTTCACATCAAATCTGAGCTGCAAGCGGTTTAGTCACCTTGCTCTTTCCCAGTGCAGTTTTTAGTTTGTCATCTGCTTCAGGGAAGCACAGTTTGCCCCACAGTGAGGTCTGAGTCCTTTGGAGGCAACAACATACCAGCCTGAAGCTGTTCTTGGGGAACAGGGTTTGCCTGCCAACCACATCCTTTGGGGAAAGGGTCATCTTAGCTCAAGATATTTGGTTTTCTGAAGAAACAGATGAAATGGTTATTAATGCAGCTGTTTTTTTGTCTCTGAAGGTTGTGATTCTAGATGTCAGAGTTCCCTGCACTCCTGTTGCCAGGCTAAACAACCACAGAGCATGTGTAAATGGAATTGCTTGGGCACCTCATTCCTCCTGCCACATCTGTACAGCAGGTAAGTGGGACCTTGCTGGGACTCTGAGTCTTCCACTGCATTTGTGAAGTCCTCTCCCTCCAACAGTTCATGCAGCTCTCTGCCTGCCTTTTGCTGAGGAATACCTGCAGTTTAGAAGTCCTTTATTAGTGATTTTCCTGAAGGTTTTATGGAAGTAGACACCTACTGGAGCTCATTCTATGGAGCCAAGTGCCCAAATTCTCAGTAAGCTCTGTTATTGTAATGCTCCTTGGTGTTTTTGCAATCTAGTTCTTAAATATTTCCAACTGTTAGGAGTTCCATGGGTCATTTGTTTATCAAGCTCTGTCCTGGCTAATGCATAATGATCCAAGTTTATGTTGTTGGAGCACAGTTGTGGTGTTTTATCTCTGCTTGAATATGCACCAGGACTGCAAAACAGCCACGTCCTGTGGCTGTGGTGGTAGCCATGTATGGAGATCTTAGTTCTACTCTGATTCTACTCCCACTTTCCTCTCCCCTGTGCAGCGGATGACCATCAGGCTCTCATCTGGGACATCCAGCAAATGCCTCGTGCCATTGAGGACCCTATCTTGGCCTACACAGCTGAGGGAGAAATCAACAATGTACAGTGGGCATCCACCCAGCCAGACTGGATAGCTATCTGCTACAACAACTGCCTGGAGATCCTGAGAGTCTAACACTGCTGCTCTGTGCCACGCCGAGGCAGGGCTGGATACCTTCCCCTCCCCTCTAAAGTAAGAACACCACCAGTCAAGTGGCCAGTATCTGTTAGTGCTTTGCATCTACTGTTACAAGGAACTGTTACAAGAATCCGGGGCAGGTGTGTCCTGTCTCTCCAGACTCTAAAATGCAGAGATGTGCTGAGCCTCTTGGACCTTCTGGGTTCTGGTTTTCTTGTTGGGTTTCTTTTTCCTCCCCCCTCAGTAAAAGTTCTGTATATTTGTTTGTTGACTGTGTTAATAAGCTTGCAGGCTTTTAAGTTGCTGGGTATGTCCATGTGTTAGTCAGCCAGCTGAGGCAGCACATCAACCAGTTGAACAGATGCAGGTGCAAAACAAGGTGGGGGAAAAAAAGAAAAAAAAAAAAAAAGACATTGATGTTAACAGCCACCTTGGCAGGAATCTTTCTCCTTCCTGTTGTAGCTGCCTCTAAACTGTTTAAACGTTTGTATGTTTTTTATATATTGGGCTAACTTTCTATTGAGTAAGGTTTTTTCTCCCTAATTCTTACTTTTGATATCTGATCCACTCCCACATGCCCAAAGCAGGACCTGGTCATGGATCCAGACCACACAACACCCTCCCTGGCAGTCAAGGCCTGCCAGAACTAACTGTTGCCTTGGCTCTCTACACCTGGTGACCTGGGCAGAATCTTCTGGTGCTGTGAAGTACAAGTACTTGTTGCACAATTTCTTTACACTTTCCTGATGCTAGAGGCAGTTGTTGCTATGGTAGGGCCTTATTTTTAACTGAGAACTGGATTTGTGTGTGTCCTGCAGTTGTGTTAGCTAACAGAGCAGTGGTAGGTTGCAGAAGGAAGGTACATGCATGAGATGAGCTCCCAGGAGGCAAACAACTCCTGAAAACATGTCTTTGTAATGGACTTGGGATTGACACTTCCAACCAAATGATTTCCCCTCTGAAGACTTACTATCTAAACCAAAATAAAATGGTTTCACACTTTGTAGCTTGCTTGATTGGCAAATAATATCACAGAGTCATAGAATCAACCAGGTTGGAAAAGACCTCAAAGATCACCAAGTCCAACCCTAATGAGCAGGATTTGGGGGTTAGTCTGTACCTTGGAGCTGCTTTGTGTTGGGCCTGTGCTCCTGGGAGCTCCTGAGCAGAGTGCAGAGCCATCTCTTTGTGAAGTGTGTGTGCTCTGTGCTGTCAGGTCTTGTGGAGTGAGCAAGGGGAGTCAAAGCTGCTCTGCTATCCAACAGAAAGCTCTTCCTCCAAAAGAAATTATTCCCTAATGCAATGCACAAAGATGGATTTGCAAGGAAAGGAACTGTGCCATTGAGGCCAAGGTTTGGCACTTGTCATGCTCTTGTCTTTTGGGGCTGTGCCTGAGGGCTTCTGTTTGGAATAGTGGCTCACTCTACAGTAACACTTCTCAATCAAAGCTGAGCAGATTAGGCAAGATAAAAAATCTTTGTGGAAGTCCTAATGTAACACAGGTACTGTGCTGGGAGCTCTGCAGGGCTCTACTGCTGGGGATGTGACAGCCAGAGCTGAGCTGGGAGGCTGAGCAGCCAAGTTTCCATGTAAATGTCAGAAACTCACAATTCTTTCCACCTAATGAGTGTTCACCTGCAACCTGAGGCAGTTTATAAATAGCAGGACCCTGGCAAACTTGGATCTCGTCAGTTTGTGCAGGAAAGGCAAGTTGGGAAAGTGATTGCTGCGAAGAGTGAAGCTGACACTGAGAACACTGTCAAATCCAGAGCAGAATCTGCAAAGCTTTGTCACTCTGGACACAGAGAATGCTCTTCCTCAGGCTGTGCTCAGCGTGGAGCTCAGGAAAGCTTTGCCTCAGGAATTTGATAGGAATTCATTAGGGACAGCTTTATTCCATCACTCCTTTTGATACCAGACAGCCAACAGACTCTAACCCAGTGACACTCTGTGTTGAGTCCTGGGATTTCTGGCAAAGCCTGATTGGAGTTGAAGGTCAGGTTTTGTTGCTGCAGCAGTGCTGGGAGTGGTGTGTTCTGTTTCCAAGCTTTCCACAGATTCCTGCTATTATATGGACAACCTCTTTGCCCTCACAACCAGGAGATGGAAAACTTGTTAGTGAGGTGAAAACCTGCAGCAAACAAGTTGGATGTTGAGATCGTGTGTAGTGTGCCGACTCTGTTAATTGGCTAAATGAGGTGAGCTGTGGCAGCTTGCAGCTGTGGGAATTGTGCTGCTGTGTGCAGGGATTCAGAAGACAAGGATTTGAGTGCTTTGACAATCTATTTAGAAAGAAAACACAGTGGTTTCAAGTGATAGGAAAGGAGACTGATAATACAGGTTGTTCCTTATGGAACCTTGAAATGTACTTAACGGGGGAGGCATTGCCTCTCATAAGTCAAAGTTAATGATCCTTTCAAAACTTAGCTGTAATTACTCTCCTGAATGTTCTGGATAATAGTAAAAAAGCTCTATTTTTTGCCTGGTGGTGCAATGAGAAGAGCTGCATCAGTCTCAAGTGTAGATCACTGCCTGCCTAGGTGAGGGAGGAGTCCCATGGACAGAGCTCACAGATGTTCTCGTGCTCGTTTGAGATGTAGATGAGGAGAGCTGAGCGTGTCAGTTTTGTTCCCTTGCAGATGGCACTTTAACAAGTATATTTTTGGTAAGATTAGGAGGAGAGTCATCTTTTCCTCAGCCCTTTTATGGTAGGTATTTGTCTGTGTTGTGTAGAGAATGTTAGAGACAATGGTCACCCAAACCCCAAGCTGTGGTTGTCAGTATCTAGTGAACCTTTGTTTGTACTGAGAGCCAAAAACATGAGCACTTGATGACACTGTACACGTTAAACTGAGTCTCTGCAAGGCCAGCCCAGGGGATGCAGTGCTGCTGCTCCTCCCAGAGTCCCTGTGGCTTAGGAGCTCCTCTGGTGGCAGCAGTGACAGGTTGGTTGTTGGGGATGTAACTGGATTCTTTGGATGTCTTACTGTTGTGAGAGAAAACACTCAGCTGCTGTCTGAGTTCACCCAGCCCACCATCTTAACTTGTCAGTTGTTAGTGGTGGTTTAACTCTTTCTGGACCTGCTGGGAAGGATGAACAGCAGCACAGGCAAACTTGGCTCCATAGGTGGCAGTTCCAGTCCCATCAGGGTACTGGGGGGGCTTAGTGTTCCCACTGCTCCCACCACCTCAAATCCACACTTAGCCCATCAGTTAACACACGTTCTCTGCCACTTTTCCTGCTTTCTCCCCTCAGACCAATATTCCAGAGCAGTCCTGTATTTATTGTTCAGTGGGCACCAAAAGGTGTCCAGAATCAGATCTGGAGTGGGCAAGGAACTGTCAACGCTGTCCCAGTGTCTCTTGATCTTCACAGAGAACCCAGGGCAGTAGTTGGATGTGGCACTTAAGGAGCATTTCTGGTGCAGCTGTCCTTCCCCTGGTGACCCAAGAAGAATCATGTCTCACTCTCCAGGGTGTTGAGGGGAGTTTGGGGTGTCCCTGACTCCTCCTTTGGGAAGAGCTCTCCAGAACTTCCATCAGCACCTTTCACAGCACTGCAAGGAGCTGTAATTAACCATGCAACCAAGGAGCTGTCACTGAAGGCTTATCTGCTGATTGATGACAGACACCAGAGGCAAAGGCACTCGTGAGGTGCTGCTGCCTGTTCCAGGTGGCAGCTGTGCCTGCCAAGTGCCTCAGTGCCCTCTGCTCCTCAGCATCCAGCGCGAATCTCCACGGGCCTAACCAAAATTGGGCTTCTGTCAAGTGTATTTCTTCACAGAAAACCTCACAACGTGCAGAAAATAAGCTGTTTCTTGGCAAATACTGTGGCCACGTGCAGCTGTCAGCCTGTGGTGCAGCTCTCATCCCTTGGAGTTTGCTCTCCTCTTGGCCTGTGTGACTCCAGCCCCGCCGAGATGGGTCTGTGGCATCCCAACGAGGCAAAGGGAAGAACCAGAGAAGGACAAAGTCCCAGCACGGCTGAGAAATGATGTGTTGCTTTTTCCTGACAGCCTGGGAAATGGGAATTACGAAACCTACTATTTAAAAAGGAACCTTTTTTTACACTTGGGTTGTTAGCAGTGTAAAATGTAACTTAAACCCATCGCGCCGAAGCATTTTTTTTTTTTTATTTTTATTTTTATTTTATTTTTTTGTTCTCAGTAGCTGAGTAGGAGATGTTTACTTTTATGTGTGTTTTCCCTTCTGCTCTTCCCATCCACAGCCCCGTTGTGGTAATTTCCTGAAGGTGTAATCTTTGTAGCATGATTGTACAAACATCCATATGAGATTCCTGACTTCTTGTTCTCACTAAAGTATGTTAAAGCAATAGTAGTTTTACTTCTGTCCTTCTTTGCTCCACCTGCAGCTTTGCTCCTTTCCTGTCCTAGAGGAATCCTAGTCCCCTGCTGTTCCACAGACATGTGTTGTTGACATGGATAACTGCAGTGTCCCTATATCCCTTTATTTTTATGGAGAAAACACAAAAGGGTTTGTTACAATGGATTTTAACCCCCGAGTCATGGAACCACATTGTTTGAACCCCTGTCAATTTTAAGGCAATTTTCTGAACTTGCTTGAAAGTGGAATGTTGCATCCTTTTATGCTATTTCCTGCTTCCTATGTAGTTCTATTCAGATTTTTTAACCTTCTTTCTAAGTTTCAGCCTCCTGTGTATTAGGTACAGTATTTTCTGCCTTTCATACTTTGTAATAAAAATGGAACATTTGTAGATCGACTGCAGTTCGCTGTGTGGTGAGTCAAAGCCTGGGGGGGACAGGGAGCTGCAGAGGAGCTTCACTTCTCTCTGAAGTTTATGGCTGGAAAAAAGGAGGAGGGTGAGTGCTTTGTCTTGTCTCTGCATAGCTGGAGTGTATTGATCTCTCACCCTACCCATACCCAAACTCCATAATTCCAACTGCTTAACTTGCAAGTTACCTTGGATAATTTTACCATCAGGAACCCAACAACAGACTCCCAACAGAATGGCTAATGCAGCTCTGCACTCCAAACCAACCCTGCTGCATCCCAGGGTTGTTTGTGCCTCTTTCCCAACTCCTTTGCAGAGTGCCTGTCCCTGTCCAACAAATGGGAATTATCTGCCGCGTGGTGTTGTTTTTAAGACAAGGGGAAGAGGGATTTTATTTTTAAAATGCAAATAATTGGTCCCTAAGGGGTTTGAATACAGGCAAATTGAAGGCAAAGCAATTAGGCATTTCTGTAGCTTTTGTCTCCTGTGCAGGGTGACCTGTGTTAGAGAGAGGTTTGTTCAGCCACTGGTGTCAACGTGGCTGAAACTGCAAAATTTGTACCTTGGGCCCTGGCAAGCAGGGACTGATGACCTCAGTAAGTATTTAGATTAACTCTACTTCAACTAAACTGTTGGATTTCTCCCTAATTCATTGTGTACTGGCTTGGAAATCAAAGCTTCATGGCC